CCCTTCCTGTCCCCTAATATTGTATATATATATATATATATATATTAAACCGTAATTTCATCGGAGTAATTAAACAACGAGCGAGAGAGAAAGAGAGAGAGAGAGAGGGGGAAAGCTAATCATCCTCGACAATTCGGGGTTGTTAATCATTCATCGGCTATGAATCCATTACGAGTGTAGGAGGCGATCGGCCCGTTTCCCACCGATCATTTTGCCATCCGTGTTTTAACACGGTCGATCGATAAGCGTTATCGGGATTCCATCTATCCCGATCATTCACACGCGTAACGAATTTACGTATATCGTTTCGACTCTCGGCACCGATACCTGGACGAATATCGAACGGTTAAATAAACCGAGGTTGGGTGGGATCCTTCTTGGTGATCGGTCTTATTAATCGGCCTCCCTTTATCTCTCGCATCGGCTCGAAATCGAGCTCGTCCGTTTCAACCCTCTCCTCCCTTCGCGTGTTTAAACGCGTGTAATCCAACGTGTTATCAGCGACACGCCGCGAAAGCATCGTGTTAACCTGTTCGCGGCACGATAAATTTTTTTCCCTGCGGCCTCCAAATACGATAATTGTATTTTAAAGTGGCTAAAATAATAGTTGGGAACGTCTTCATCGGATAGATAAGCAAAGTAAGTTTCGGGAAATTATTATAATTCAAGTTTCAGATATATATATATATATTATTATTATTATATTAAATATGATAATATTATTATTGATAAATTGTTCAAACGATTTGGTTAAAATAAGGAATATAGAGTACGGAAAGAATGTATTTAATAAATTATTTCGATGTACGTGCCGATGCTCCACTAAATTGAACTCGCTGTGTGGATTGAAAAAGGAGGGGGGAACAGAATCGAAGCAGCGATCGCGTGTCGAATCGCACCTTTACATATATCAAGTCAATATATGTATATATAAAATGGAATATCGTATAATGGAAAGAATTAGGTATTAATTTATATCCGTTATTTGTTCGAGCGTGAAATTTGTTGTAAATAATGTATATATAATAATTTGTCCACGTCTGAAATATTAATCCACTCCTCCTATCGCGGAATAAACAACGAAAGAACGATCGTTAATTCGACGCTTGGGAAAAGTTTGTTTAAAAATTCGTCAGGTATAGGAAACTTTTGCTTCTCGTCGCGAAAAATATCGCTTTCGATGGGGCAAAAAAAATCGCTTCACATTTTCAATCCCGTGATTCGGCGATAAGAGATTCCATTCCGTAATTCTAAATAACGTAGACAAGGTACGTAGAAGTAAACAGGACGCTTTTGTTAGCTGTGAAATATTTTAGGGAACACGTTTAATAGGGGAAAAAACGCGAAATGAATATGGATCTAGGGGGAAATAGGGGATCGTTAGAGGCGAGTAACGAGGCAAGTTTTGGACACTTGAGCCGCGAAATACGGGGGATCGCGGAAAGTTGCTTTACCACGTTAGATCGGATAACATTCTCCTCCACTTTCCAAATTTATTCTCACGCGCTAAATACTCTCCCGTGTTATCTTTCCCGTATTAAATATTAACTTGGTCCACGCTATATTTAGATGTAGATCGCCGTATTCGTCGTTCGTGCCCGGTTTTTTTTCCCCTCGCGTTTCACAAAAGCCGGAAACGAAATATCCGCAGGCTCAAATTTCTAGACAGTTGGACACTTGATGTCCCGTCGGATCAAAAGTGTCGAATCGCGCGCATACGCGAAAATAATCGCGTTTCCCCGCAAAAAAAAGAGGGAAAAAAAAGAAACAAACAAACAAACGAACGAACGAACGAACGAATGAATGAATGGAAAAAAAAAAAAAAAGAAGGAAAAAAGGAGAGAAAAATACCGTGGCAGTAGTACGAGGCGGGAATTGGGGGCCCACGGCAATCGAGGAACGACGCGTCGCTGCGTAAAACCGAACATCCGTATTCCCGACCGGATTATTAACCACGAATTCAACCAGGTGTATTCTGTAACGCGCATTCGTACACGCGTTGCAGATATTATCTCGCTTATTCCACGGACGGACGAATGTACGTACGTACGTTTTCAAATCGACCCGTTAATTACGCATTTATCTTGCAGTATATTTTATCCGCCGAGTTTCCACCGCTCGATTATTGTCCGACAAATCTGTTACCATGCAAATTTCACGGCTTTTAGCCACGTATATGGTTAAATTTCAAGGAGGGAGGAGGAGGAGCTTTTTCGTCCTCGATGGACTATCCGGTGACGACGACGACGACGAGGTCTTTGTGTCGCTTTATATTTCGCTCGTCGCTTCGCACGTGTTTTCGCGATGTTTTTTTCTTTTTTTTTTAAAGAAAGAGAGAAGAAGAGAGAGATGGATATAGATAAAATACGTAAAAGGGAAAGATATTCTCGATCGTTGGGCTTCGCGAGGGAAAGGGGGATTTGTCGAACGTGGATCGCTGAGAGATCGTGTTTCACGAACCGATTCCTGAATTAATGGCGTCTCCAAACATTCGAGTGTTTTAATTTATCGACAGATATTTAAGTGGAATTGCCCGAGAAATTTTATTATATCTGCATACGTAAGAAATGTACGAAATTCTTGTCACGGAAAATTTCGTGTAAAGTAGCTAGTTTATCTCGTTGTTTTAAATTTCTCGACACGAGAGCTTGATTTTTATATCGTCGATTTGCTGCAATCCGTTGATTTATTTCACGTATTTATTCCATAAAGTCGATCTCTCTTTGCTGATCGTTATGCCTTACTTTATATCGTTGAATATATTTCAAGCGAAGATACGTAACGATATATTTTTATATTCTTTGAAACATAATTCTGGAATAGGAATCATTTATATTTTACTTGTCGATGTAAAATTGATTTCCTCCTAATAGAATGCTTCTAACTTCGAGAATTTATGCAGAATTTTAATTCGACATAAATAAACGTCAACGATATTTTGTTAATAATTGTAGAGTAAGAAATTGTTTTCGACGCGCAATTGAATTTAAATTCGTCCATTCGAAAGGATTCGATCTTACGTCGAGAGAAGGAGGGGAGGAAAGAAGAAAAAAGGAGAAACTTGTCCCGAAGCCGGGTGAATTTATCGAACGACCCCATTTTCCAATACCACGGGGTCGCGAGTTGAAGTTAATGAGTTAATTCAACCTTTTCCAAGCAAGGATCAATCGGTAGAGATAGTCGTTTGAAGTCACCTTTCGTAAAGGGATTATAGCGCACAGAGAACGGGGATTCCACGGGAATATCTGACGCAGAACGAGAGTTGCAAAGTGGAAGGAGGGGAACAAAGGCGTGTGAGTAATTTTATACGAAAAAACGGATGCGAAAGTTTTAACGAAACGAATCCATCTTTGGGAATCTATTCGTTGCGTCTAAATCCGAACGAAACTGTTATGCTGTATTGGAAGGAAACAACGTGTCCGATATTTTCGCATCGTTGATTTAAGATTGGTGTACGTATTTTTTTCGGCACGTCTGAATTTTAAATTGAAAATATTTCTATTATCATCGGGGAATATCGAAAATATCCGGGAAAGATTGATATTTTAATTAAAATCAATGCGTTTAAATTTCGAAAATATAGTACGTTACCAAACTCTTGTTATTTATTTAGCAAGAATTCTGATGTGGAAGAAATAAAGATAATTATAATAATGATTTTAAAGCAATGGCTTTTATAGGTTTTATTTAATCTATTTGTTTATTTATTTATTTATTTATTTATTATTATTATTATTATTATTTTAATTAATAACACTTGATTCTTGAAAAGGATGAGTTTCGTTTAATATATTTCGTTAAAATATGAAACGAGATGCTGTTATAATAAAATTACGTTCGCTTTTATGAATTATGGATGAATTATAATTACAACTGCATTGTTTTATTTGAAATTGAACGGAA